TTCAAAAGCATAATCTTTATGTTTTAATAGAATATATAATATTCCATTATAATAGCTATATCATAATTTAATGACCAATTCCTATTTTGAGCCATTTGGGTTCTTTCCAATTTTTTGATAAATATTGCCATAGCTAACAATTTTGGACTTAAAAGTTTTGTCTAATATCTGATTATTTCTTTCAGATTGATTCCTTGGAGTGGAATTAGTCAGTAAAAAGGATATGAATATTTTTAAGTCTCTTGATATGTCAGAATGATTTCCAGAAGGCTTGTACCAATTTACTCTTCTACTGACTACTGTAAGAATACCCTTCCTCCATCAACAGCATTGTGTATTAGCTTTCAAGAAAAATCTTTTCTAATTTAATAGGTTAAAAAAATTCATCTCATTATTTTAATTTGATATGTATTTTTAAATGAGGTTGAATATAATTTCCTAAGCTTATTGATCACTTTTATTGTGCCCTTGTGAATGGAGTGTAAATTTGCCTCTTTTCTCTTTAGGGTTTTCACTGAGTCTTATTGATTTGCAAAAGCTCATTGTATATTAAGAATATAAACCCTCTGTTGAGATGGTTACAGGCATCTTTTCTCTCTCTCCTGATGGCAACTTCCCTGTATCAGCCCTGTGTTCTGCCAGCCCCACAATAGTAGCACAGGCAGTGAAGGATCTGGTCCCTTATAGGTGGAAAAACAAGTTTTATATCTAGCTTAGCTAATGAACCCTGTGATGGCTTAGCAAGCTGCACCAACACCGTCGTTGTCCATGGCCCACCATCAATGTGGAGTGTTGGGAGAGGGGATGGTCTGATGGGGCAGTCTGGTGAGAGACACCTGTGTCCCCTTCTGACCCTTTGTGTCTTTTTCAGCCAACACTTTTGATATTGTTGTTACTCATTGCAAGTCTACCCTCCAAATCATGATTGCTCTTTATTTTCCTCTTCTTCACTCCATCCTTAGCCCATTATTACCTTGCTGGCAGTCACAGAAGCTGACTTTTGTTGAGCCCTTGCTGGGTACCAGCTGCAGGCCTAACCCCTTGCAGCCCAGCCCCTCTGGCTGCCTCAGTCCTAACCTGCATCTCCCTCCCACTCTTGCACCATGGGATGGGCTCAGTGTACCCTTCCCACACTGGCTCACCAGCCCCATGTGTGGACCCCATGTGGACCCCATGAGGACCCCAGGAAACCCATGGAGAGCACAGGGAGCCAGCGGTTCCGAGACCTCATGGCAGCTTCAAAGTCCCTGGGAGAAATGGTCTTTTGCCTCCGGTTTTGGGAGCATAGAAGTGTGACATTGATTATGTTTTGAGGCAAGGCCCTCTGACCCCCAACTGAGCTGCACCGGGCAAGCCAGTTTCCACTTGTGGCCTGTACAGGTGGCCTCGACTGAGTCAGGCTCTCCAAATCCTGTGGGTGGCTTGGTTAGGATCTTCTCGGGGAAGTGTGACCTCTCTCCTCGCTTCCATGTAGATACTCCTCCTTCTCTCTCTCTCTTGTTTTTATTTTTTATTTTTTATTTATTTATTTATTTTGAGACAGAGTCTCACTCTTGGTGCCCAGGCTGGAATGCAATGACACAGTCTCAGCTCAGTGCAACCTCCACCTCCCGGGTTCACGCCATTCTCCTGCCTCGGCCTCCCAAGTAGCTGGGATTACAGGTGCCCACCACCACACCTGGCTAATTTTTTTGTAATTTTAGTAGAGACGGGCTTTCACCATGTTGGCCAGGCTGGTCTTGAACTCCTGACCTCAAGTGATCTGCCTGTCTTGGCCTCCCAAAGTGCTGGGATTACAGGCGTGAGCCACCGTGCCCAGTCAGTCTTTCTTACTGAAGATACCTGAAATCTAAGTCAGTGGAGAGAGGGTAGGGTTTGAAGATTGGAGACGTCACCTGGCCTCGGGCCCTGGTCCTTTCAGCCTAGTGACCATCATCTGAACTTTCTGAACTGCAGTTTCACCACCTGGAAGTGGGGAGCCAGCTCCAGCACAGCACTTTGTGGGAGGACAAAAGAGACGGTGTGGATAAAGTGCTCCGCAGATCACCAGGGGCGGCAAAGGTGAGTGTCGCTGTTAGATGTGTGGAGTATTTGACTCACTTTGGAGACTATATTTAAGAGATGGTCTCTGAGGAATCTTGAATCAGAAACAGTGTTCGCCTCCTCCCGAAGTAGTGCCTGCCCTCAGTTTGTCCCGGCCCCAGTCTTTCCATGAGGGGCAAAAGGCCCTTCTAGATTCCCACTAAGTACCAGAGACTCAGTGGGACCTCAGCTTCCCCCCTCAGCTTTGACTAGGTGCCCCCTTGCAGGGGTGAGGAAGGTGCAGGTTCATCCAGGGCACTCAGGAGACCCACTGGGAGGCTGGAGGATGGCGGCCTCAGATGCTTTCGAGTCTTCCCCAGGGGGACACCACCCTGGAGTGGCCTGGGGGGCAGGGCAGGCTCTGCTGAGGAGAGCACTGGGGCTTCCGCTGGATGCTGGCTAGGAGTTAGCCAGGATTTTCTCTGCCCAGATCTCAAGGTCTTGACACATGGGGACTGGGAGACCGGCATGCTTCTGTATCATGCTGTCTGTGGGGTAGTGTAGAGCCAACTGGAGGGGTGGGGATGGGGGTGGAAACTCACCAAAACTGATGGCACTCCCCAGAGAACGTGTCTCTGTGGACATCCGTGGATCTGTGAGTGCAGACCTAGAAGAAGTCACTGTGAATTTTGCCAAGGACGACATCCCAGGTTATAAAGCTGCCACTGAATTCGCCATGATTGGCACCTGTTCTTGTCACAGGTTCAGTTGGCTGCACTCAGTGGGGCAGGAGGAGTCACCAGGGCTGCCTCTACTTACTGAGGAGCCCAACCACGGGTTGTCCCAAGTCAGGGGTGGGAGCAGGAGCTGCGTCCACGCTCACTCCCAGCCCTGCCACGACGGCAACTCGCTCCCTGTGAAACCTGCGGCTCTACGCTGGGACATGACAAATGACCAAAAAATCAATTTGTAATCTGATTGGAGGTTTTTGATTTCCTCTGATGAGTTTAAATTTCATTAAAAGCAACCTTATTCCAACATAAAAGGAATCCTTGAAGGGTAAAACAGGGGATTGTCTCACCGAGTATAAAGCATCCCAACTCTTTTGTGTGATTTATTCATGGCATTAATTGTGAGGGCCAACCTGTGGTGTCCGTTGGCAGCTGCGCCGTTATCAGGGTCTGGGATCGGCCCAGTGAGCTCAAAGCACAAGGACTCACATTCAAAACTCACTCTTCGGCATATTGACACTTCAGTTATCAACAACCCTTTTTATCTGCTGGGAGGGAGATCGCAGCTCATGGGGCCGGAATAAGCCACAAATCACTGCCACCACCGCCTCTCTGCATTCTTTTAATTGTATGTATTCTCTGGAAAAAATGATCAGCGTGGCCTCTTGTCTTGATGAGAAATTGACATTTCTGAGGACTTCTTTGGGCGCTCAGAGCAAGTGAGATAAGCATGGGTTGTTTTAGAGGAGAGCAGCCTTTCTTCTCTTTCAGGGGCCTCTTTACCGCTCGCGTTGACCCACTTGATGAGTATGGATTTCATGAGGTCTTTTTCAGCATTTGAACTATAAAAGGTTCGGAATGACACCACCCCTTATAGACAAAAGATAACCTTGCCCTTTGAATATATTGATTCTTTATTAACTAGGCTGTTTAATGCAATGAAATGAGGCATTAGATTGAAGCCCATTTCAAGTGCTTTGAATAATCTTTAAAAGCTTGAAAGACCTTAAAAGGCGGCCTCACAATAATTGGCGTGCATTTTGAAAGAAGGCAGTTCTTGCTTCTGATTTGAAACACAAACATAATTTCTCCATCCTCTGGTTACAGGACATTGGGTACTTGTGGCACCAGTGCAGAGTGCGAAGGAGGTGACTTGCCCAGCAACTGCTTGTCCCAGCCCCAGCCCCAGCCTCCAGCCACTTGGAAGGGAGTCTGCAGGGGAGGGGAGTGGGCAGCCTTCAGGCTTGTACCTTCTAAGCCTCCCTCTGTGCTGTCTCTTTAAGTCTGAAATGAGAACCTGATTGTCAATGACAGGAGAAAAAGGTATTCACAAGTTTCTTTATGTTTTGAATAATTGTTTCCTGTTTTGCTCAGCAGAACAAGTAATTAAGATGACATTTGTGAGTACTAATTTGGATCACACTTATGTGTATGTGTTATAAAGCTGCAAGCCAAAACATGCAAACCCAGCCTTTCATGGAGGAGAAAATGAAAAAATACTGAGTGAAATGGGAGCACGGGAAACTCAGAGGAGCCGAACATCGGTGTGTAAATTAGAACCTCAGTGTTGAAGGCAGATCTTATTAGAGTTGGTGCATTTGGCTACCAGTGTGCAGTCAGCAGCGCCCGGGGCTGGTGCATGGGGTCTGCTGTGCCACTGTGGTGGCAGTGGAATCGGTGATGCGCCTCTTGCAGACCGTAGGCAGCACAGTCATCTGGGTGCCCTGGTGTTTGCACACACATCCAGAGCCTTTGCTGCTGCGCTCTCTCTCCGAAGCCTGGTTCTTGCCCAGTGGAACCCAACTGTGCAGCCAAAAGCAGCATGTGTCTGGGGTCACTGGAGCAGTTGTTCTCTACCTGCCCAGTGCACTATTCAGAAGCAGAGGGGCTGGGGCAGAAGGTCTGGAGGGAGTGGGTTATCAAGCCCCTCAGTGAGCCTTGGGATTGTTTGAGTTCCCAAAGACAAGTGCTGGAACAGTGATTATGTCACTCTGGCACTGCTGTGGTCCACAGAGCATGTGTGACACAGAAGCATCGCCCACAGTGCAGCATGCATACAGATGGTACCTCTGAGGGTCAGGACCACGTAAGTGACAATTTGCTGAACTTCTGTCTCTACGCGGGTTAGAGGATGGAGGCTGGATAACTTTGTGGAAAGTTCTACTGTGGATCATTTTTATCTTGGCGGAGTTGCAGCTTCAGAACCCAGCATGTGCAAATGAAAGCCCCGATGTAAATTTTATGTGTGTTTAGTCAGTCATTTTAATAATCAAAACAGAATTACCAAAAGTGAAATTCACAGACAAGAAATACTTTAATTAAATATTGTGTAAAATGAACATTTTTATACAGTTAAATATCTGAAAAAATGTACAGATAAAACAATCTTATTGTAGGGTCTTTAACAGTAAAATCTACCATTTAGTGAAGTGCTCAGTCTTGAGACAGTGAAGTGATGTGGGCGTTGACTACTTAACCTAAAACACAAACCAAGTGAGGGCATGGGGAAGCTGGCAGGCGTTCTCAGTGCGTCCACGTGCGCTCTTTTGTAGATCAAACCCTTACTCGTACAAAATAAAACGGAGGCAATTTAGTTCCAAAGTGACTTCTCAGGCTTTCCCATGTAGCTAGGCCTTGTCAACTGTCACAAAGCCAGACTGTGACCTGCTGACTCCTGGGGACATTCTGTTTATTTAATTTTGTCCCTAGAATGAACACTTTCTAAGTTGTGCATTGTTGATTTTTGTCAAGAAGGTATTTTAAAGTCCCTCCTTTTTAAATTCGATTTCTGCTGCAATTTGCAAAACATTTGTGCTGTGCTGTGTCCGCAAAGCATTTAGTGCAAAGGAGAAAGAAAAAAAAAACACGTGACACTTTTGGTCTCACTGTGGGTTTGGCACTAAGAGGCACGATATCTGAAGGAGGTCATTCCAGTTTTAAAAGTACGGACAGTGCTGTTGGAACTGACCACAAAAATGTATTGTTAAAAAAAAAAATTAAAAATCAGCAGTGATTTGGGTCCCCCTGAAACCTCTGTGAATCGGAGGTGGGCCCAGGAGGGTACAGGCTGCAGCAGAAATAGTCCCAGAAAGGAGAGACGGGTCATGCAGCGGGCTTGTGCTTTTGTGTGTGTGTTTGTGTGTTTTACACCATAAATCTCCAAATGAAGTATTTAACAATTGTTGTGTAAGCCTGTGATAAAATAGCACAAAGGTTCTTTAAAGAAGTCCACTTTTAAGGCATCAGAGAAGTTAATGTGGCAAACATTTTAATTAAAACATCAGAAGTAAATTTTATTTTAAACTTTAGGCCTCTGAATTTTTCCAGTAAACACAGTTCAGCTATGTGGCAAAGTCATGGGTGGCATCTAAAATGACTTTTTACATTCTACAAAAAAATAAAATAAAATAAGGACACAGCCCCAAATGGTGTCGCCTCTTCGCGGCCGTTCCACATGCACAGACTCTCCTAGGATTTGTCACGGCCGGGTGGCACCGATTTGTTTTGACTATACAACTAACTTTTTTTTCAAAAGTATTTGTTCAGATAACTTAAAAATAATATAAAAATAAACAATGAATTTGACTTTTCCTCAAAATAAAAAAAAAAGATGGAAAGTCTAAACAATAGCATATTTTTGAAGTACAAATGAAATGTAAAGACACTGGTTCATCTTAACGAAACAGATCAAAGAGACAAGTTCTTGGCTAATGCTCTTCCCAGTATCACAACACCAGGCCATGATCAAAAACCAACGCAGACAAGAAAGAAGAAAAAGGAAAAGGCGGGAAAAGCAATGTACAAAATTTCAAAGATAAATACAATATTTATAATTGATATGTTACAAAATAAAGTCCCTTAGCAACTGCAAGTGTTCATGGGAAAGTAAGTGTCAAATGAAGACCATTTTATTCCTTATAAGACACATAAGGAATAAAACTTGTTTTTCTAAATATTTTAAGTGGATCTGAAAAAAATTCAAGACAAGTGTATAAATATTTAGCTACAACTTTGGCAAAATCACAAAAGTCTACAATTTTATAACCACATACAAAACACATTAGGGAAGAAGGATCTAGAAGTCAAAAGGACAATTTCTGGTACAAGAAACATAGACCTCACAGTAGCCTAAGAATGCAATAGTATACAGTGCTAGCAAAAGTTGAAAAAATGTTGCAGATCACACTTGCTTAACAGGAAGCTCTAGCAGTGGGAGAATATTGGAACCAACAGACAGTAGCATTTTTCTCTGTCAGTGTGCTTGTTGAAGGCAAGAGAATTCAATATCAAAGTTACAATTTCTAACTACAATAAGTTACAAAGTTTCATTTCATTAAGATGAAGTTAAGCAATGATAAACCCTCCCTCCCTCCCTGCCACCCCAGTTTCTCCTAATCATATAGTCATCCTTTTTTCCAGTCTGATGGCTCATACCTCCTTGGCCCCCTTTTTATCACCACAAAAAAATATTTCACATTATAGAGATACACAACCATTGTGAATCTAAGTATGAGTACAGAAAAATGTTTGGAGGCATTTTTCATCAGCGTTTCATGATCATCAAAATGGTGCATTCACAAAGTTTCTCCCAACACATAGCAATTACTAGACATGGCCAAGACGGAGTCAGAAACTTTATACAAAATAGGCGTCGCTTTGTTTTCCTTATTCTTCAGGACTGAGAAATGTGAAAATATGAGAAAAGTTCAGTCAATAAAATGGAATTGTTCATGAAGAAGTAGGCTGTTTGCATGTTGATTCTTAGTAGTTTAAATAAAATCTTTAAACAAAGTCTTTTGTAGCATTTCAATTGCTGCTGATATTTTTGAAGATACTGTTTCCATCAGCATGTCTTAATATACTAAACGTGTCCCCTGAAGTCCGTCCTTTGATGCTGGGTGCTGCGGAAGGTAAACAGGAGTCCCTCACATTGGCGGGACTACCAGCCCAGACATAGCTGCAAGACAGAAGGACAGAGCAGTTACTGTAGGCTCCCCGCATGCGCCCTCCTGCCAATGCAGACGCGGGCGGGGCTGCCCTTCCCCCCTATTCAACTGGGAGGCTGGACTTGCACAATTCCATTCACCAGCCTCGGGCGTGGTTAGGGTGTGCTGGGGAATCTGCTTCCTGAGGTGGGGGCGCACGTGGGGACAAAAATCCCCCGGTCCTGCCCCTCCTGCAGCCCTCCTCAAAGGCTTCTTTTGGAAAAGGGAGGGGCTCCTGGCACTGCTGTGTGCAGAGGCTGCAGCTTCCCCACACTGACCAGTGCAGGGTACAAAGCCAAAGGAGGCCCGGACCCCCCTCTGCCGAGAGAGGCGACCCAGCCTGGTCACTCCTGTGACGCCAGCCAAGGCCGGCTCACAGGCCCTGCTCTCGCTCCCTATGTGAGACCCAGACTGGCCTCAGTTTCCCCTCTGCTTCCAGGTCTGGGCTCTGACCATGCGGTCATCTCTCTGTATCGTAATGGTGAGTCAGGGGCTCTCCAGAATCAAAGTCACTCACAGCCCACCTGCCCTGGAACCTCCAGGCAAGGGCCACGGAGAGATGTGAGTCATGGCACCGCCGTCAGGACCTTTCTTCTCTTCTCAGGAAAGAAGAGAAAACTTTGCACGAAAACGCCAAGCGGGGCTGACGCTTTCACGTGAACTCCTGGTACGAATGTAATTTAAAATCTTTTACCGCTACTGTTGTTTAATTTTTGTCAGAATGATCGTTCTCATTAATTGATGTATAACATATTAATACATTTGTTCATGTAGTCACGTGAGCTTCGATTTCTCAGTTCATTAATTTCAACAATATTAATTTATCTCCGACTCACCGTTACAACTTTATGGTTTGGAAGCCCTGTGCGTGTACACACCGCGTAGGAGGTGCCGTCTTTCAGCCGGCCTGACCCCATGTCGCGGGCAGCGCCGCGGCACCTCACCACCTGCCTCTGCAGCGACCCTGGTGCGGTGCCCGCTGATGGCACGCAGGCCAGTCGGCGGCACTTCGGGGGCCTGGGCGTCCCTTCGTACGCTAACGCATGTTGTGAAGACAATGATTTCAAATCACTGATACCTTTCCAGTTCCTTTTTTGAGCATTAGTTCATCAAAGTGAAATATGCCACCGACTTCACAAAAGGGCCAGTTTGTCTTCTCCGCGGCTACGTCCTCAGCACCCAGCAGAGAGCCTGGTACATAGTAGGTGCTCAGTAAATACTGGTTGAATGGGTTCATGTTTCTAAAGGAGTAACTGGATTTGAGTCACTGGGAGGAGCATATACCAAAGGTGGTGTCTGAAAGAGGCCAGATGACGGCCACTTAATTTAAGTGCCTGCGGGCCTCAGCACCTCACAAAGGGCCACTCACAAGTTCATGAGGCCTGGGGGCACCCATGTGGCTCTGCCTGTCACACACATCTCAGGCCACGTGCAGCCTGCACAGCCCAGATGGGCCAGGCGCTGGGCAGGCATAAGGTGCCCACTCCGTGTGGTCTCATCTGTGGACAGCTGTGCTCTCAGGGCCGGCCCTTCTCCCTCCTGAATCTTTGAAAGAGATCACGTAGGGAAAATCAGCTCCTGTCCACAGACAGGACTGCAACCTGGTGTTGGTACACACCTGGCCCTGGGTCTAGACGCACATCCCTTTCCAAAAGACAGCACAGCCCTGCTGGATGCATGGTCCAGCAAATAAAGTGGAGAACTAAGGCCCAGCCTCGGGACAACGAGGGTAGGCAGATTTTGAGATGGGATCCACAGGCGGCATGGTGCCCCGCCATCCCCATGCCAGGGCTATTTTTGCTGCTTTGTGCATAGGAGGCTGCAAGCGCTAACCACCCTGCACTGAGAAGTGCCAGGCCCCGGGCAAAGGCCCATTGGCTGAATCAGACTGACAATGACCACAGCAACCTTCACCGCACTCCCGCCTTCTCTCACGTGGTCCCACCCCCTTAGGGGCACAGGGTGTTCCAATGAAAGTACACTAGGTGCCATCGGAAGGGTGAACTGGACAAAATCCAAGAGGAATCAGGTCCTTTCTGGGGCTCAGTGCACAGGGGTCCTTGCTCTGAACACCAGGCAGAGGTGGCACGCATCAAGGTGGGCCACGGGAGAACATGCAGCAGTCACAGAGGTGCCAGGAGAAAGGCCGAGCCCCCACCCCCACTCCCATCCCCACCCCTGGAGAGCACCCGACACTGGTCCCCGGCCCACACCACCCTCACCTTGCAGTCCGTTCCCGTTGGCGCTGGTGCAGGAAGGAGGAGGAGAGGCTTGGGGCCGGACCACGGGCGCGAAGGCGCTCTTCTGTTTCACTGCGGAGATGACATTGGCAGGTGAGAATGAGAAAATGCCGTGTGTGCTGCTACAGTTTGAAGGGAGGGTGACCGAAGAGGCTGCCATGGTGGGGCTGGACGGCACTACTGCAACAAAGCAAACACGGTCAGCACGCGCGGCCGTGGCACAGTGCCACGGCGAGACGGCGCCAAAGGCCTCGCCTCAGACGGGGGGCGGGGGTACAAAAACAAAACATGACATGCGTCTGGCTCGGCCACGCTCTGGATAACAGGCAAGCTCTTTTGCACTGGACTTTCTCTTCCAATTGAGCAGCCCATTTTGTTCGGATTTTGTTTTGGTTTCCAATGAGGTCACATCAGGCCCGTTTTGGGTCAATTTATGGTCGCCATTTGGACGCCCAGCCTCCAGGGCCACCCTTCCTTTTATCCAGTAGCTCACATCACAGAACATCCAAGCAATGCACACACTCGACTTGGTAGTGAATATGAATCTGCGTGATGACGTGTGACAAAAACAGACACTTACTGCCGTAGGGAGAGTTAGCGGAGGAGCCATTAAGAAATCCAGGCGAGCCAGGGACCCCTAGATTGGCCATGGCGCCACTTCCATATCCATTCATGCTAGTGCTGACTGTGTTGTAATTGGACTGCTGGGGAGTACTGCTGGGGACGTAGCCTCGCGGGGACACGCTGCTTGTATTGCGACTGTAGCCGACTGTTGAAATCCCCCCCCGGCCAAAAATAACATTATTATCAGCGACAGACACTTGGGGGGGGGTTCCCCGAGAATCTATATCATTTATTAACATTGCTAATTGACCCTGTGCTTTCCACCTGCTCTAGCGCCTGCTGCCAGCTCGGATGACCTTATCACGCCAACCCTGCTGCCACTGTCTCACCGTGAGCCCCATCCTGCCTCTGCCGGCTTCGACAGCCAGCCGGGGCACGCTTCGATCTCACCGTCAGTGGCTTTCACGTTTCTCTTTAGAGGCAATTATCAAAGCTTGGATTCCTGGTCTGTCCCCCCACGCTCTGTGAACTTTCGGCCTCTGTAGACCTTCAAATGCCATGACTGACAAGGAGAGCTTGTTTGTGGCCGTAACTTCCCCTGAAAGGCTGTTTGGGGTTCTTCATTTGTATGGTTTCTATTTCTATACATGGAGGCAGTCAGGGGACATGGAAGCTTCATTCCTGCCACAGGAGCATGGACGGATGGGAACAAAATCAGCAGTACAGGTGAGGGGTTTTCTAAGATCACTGCCTGCGCACTCTGCAATGAGGAAAACTAAAATGGACCCAAACGGCAAGATGCAGCGGCCTTGGCTGGCCCAGGTCACTGTACTGTGGGATGGGGTGCGGGGTGTGGAAATGCGGGTCTCTCTCCATGGATTCGTTCCAAACTTAGACCCAAATCCCACCGTGCAGTGCATCCAAGCAGGCTCTCCTCGGCTCCCTAGGCCATGGCTATCCTATGGCTTAGCCCAGTCTTCCAAGGAAAGCAAAGTCACTTACGAACACATTGAGGGAAACTTCTAGCAAATACCAGTGACCCGCATGGCAGCCAGGGCAGCTGCCGTTCTTAGTAACTGGGCTCTCTGAGTGTTCTTAGGCCAGCACTGGCTGGGAGGACCTGCAGAGCAAGGTCTTCCTGAGCAAAGAAACCAGCAGAGCCAGAGAGAACGGAACACTACGGACATTCCCCAGCCGGTCCTGGACACGTGCCTCTTCAGCTAAGGCCTCAACCAACCCGCGTAGGGTGTTCAGGGCAGGGGTCCGCCTGGCGCACCAGCCTACCTTGGTCGTTGGCTTGTGACGTCTCCGACACGTTGACGGCTAGCTGGCTGCTGAAGGAGTTGACGCCCATCATGCCCGTGTGCGCAGGGGTGTTGCCCAGGGTGGGGATCTGGTTGTGATTGCGGGGAACGCTGTACAGCGCCTCGGCGATGTCCGCCGCTCGCTTCAAGATGATCTCCTGCAGCAGGAGCAAGTGGGAGCCAGCCCATCATCCTAGGCCCAGCCCAGCTGGCCGCACTCTTGGGGACCCATGATGGTGGCGTCCCACCTTCCCTTGCCCAGACCATGACCAAATCTACTTCTTAATGGGCAAAGAGCTTCCCCTAGGAAAATCATTTACTGACGCTTTTGAAAGGGTACAATATCTGGCTGGGCACAGTGGCTCACGCCTATAATCCCAGCACTTTGGGAGGTCAAGGCAGGCGGATCACCTGAGGTCAGGAGTTTAAGACCAGTCTGGCCAACATGGCAAAATCCGGCCTCTAATGAAAATACAAAAATTAGCTGAGTGTGTTGGCAAACGCCTGTAATCCCAGCTACTCAGGAGGCCAAGGCAGAAGAATCGCTTGAACCTGGGAGGCGGAGGTTGCAGTAAACCAAGACTGCCCTACTGCACTCCAGCCTGGGCAACAGAGCAAGATCCTGTCTCAAAAAAAAAAAAAAGAAGAAGAAGAAGAAAGGGAGCCACATTTGCTCAATTCTGTCCTGAATGCTGTGGGGCGCCCATCCAGCCCTCCCTGTCCCGGTGGCACCAACACTGTCCACCCGCCACTGCACACCATCCACCCGCCACTGCACACCATCCAC